ACCTTTACGACGTCTATCCACTTTCGACATTATGATATCTTGAGTCTAAAAATAATAAATTACACTCATTCAGTGTTACACTCGATTAATAAACTTACAAGTAAAGAAACATTTTAAGAAATTTCAATACCTGGTTAGCAGTGGTTCTTGCGGAGAAGTTGATGGTATTGGTGATGTACCTGTGCCGCGGCAGAGACAAGAGGAAGTCGATAACGAGCGAGGACTTGCCGGTGCCCGTGGGGCCTACTAGCAGGATCGGGATCTGGGACTTCACCATCTTCGACACGAAGTACCGTAGGTACGCGTTCTCATTCGTCAGGATTATAATTTCATTAACCTGATCAAAATATTTTACATTCAATTGAATTGACCTTTTCAATAAGAGATAAAAGAAGTGGTAAGAAGTTGTTCTCAATTTTGAGCCTCAATTAAAATGTTGTACTAATAAAATTAGTGATTATCCGAGTACAAATGTTAACCTTTGCGTTGGCAGGTATGGCAACCTCCTTCTCCAGTTCGACCCAAGGTATCCAGGTGCCGTTGTTGCGCTTGTCGTACACGTAGTCGAACACCGTGTCTTTATCTTGGAATAGCTGGTTCTTGGTTAATTTAAACGACTTAGGTTTCGGATACGTCGCGTTGTTCCCCTCCAGTAACTTTCGGAAGAATGCATCGAAACGTTTACGACTGTCACCTTTAGTGGAAGAAAAGAAGTCCTTAAAATGGAATTTACGAATACCCAAAACATTCTACGTAAAATCAATTTAGTATATTTGTCTCAGTAAATACATTAACAAGAGGCAGAGTGATTTATTTAATGGGTGTTGACTCACCATCGATAGTGGCGCTGAGTCCCCATAGTAACGAGAAGACGAAGGTGCACTGGAGCCACATTGTGCTGAATTGCGTCTCGCCCTCGAGCAGGCACGTAAAAAGACGTGTAAACGACTGTTAGATAACATTTATTGTCATAGTATGAATCTTTTACACCAAATGTCACAAATAAAAATAAAATGTCACAAAAACTAATTTTAATTTTAATTTTAAAAGATGATACAAATGTAGCATAGTAATTATTGGCAACTTACGTAGAACTGATGAATATCTCCAACTTTGACGAACTGGTGACAGCGCTGATTGAGGAACTCAAACATGGGCGGCACCAGCCAGTCGATCAGCTCCTGGATCAGGTCGAACTGCTCCGGGATCAGTTTCTTGCTTAGGTGTGTATTGTACGATGCCAAAAATGCACGCCAACCTGCAGAAGAACATGATCTACATCAAGTCGATGTATTCTTCGCAATATGTTCTTCTTCAACCAAGAATCACACCAACCGAGCTGCTCAGGCTCCATGTAAATCATGCCGCAGCGCGACACCGTGGCTGGGGAGGCAAACTCAAGATCCGCCGCTTCGAAGATCAGGTTCATTTTATTTGTCATCTGTCAAAAACAACAATTTGTTCTTAATACCTCTTCGATTTTTAGATATTAAACTTTGAAAGTACGGTTTCCTTATTTTATTGCACCTGTATAATCTCGCCGCTCATAAGACAGAGTTTCTTGTTGTCATCCAGCACCGTATTCATGTTTTCTATCCACACGGCGTCTACGGGACCGTCGAACAGGATCCATTTGCGATCGCGAGTCGCCGACATCGCGTACTCACGGAATGCAATCGCCAGAACACCATCCGACCTCAAATAGACGTTTATTTAAGTAAATCAGTATAACTACAAGAGTAGACTATGGCAGTTAACTTAAAAATAATACCATTCATGGGATGCAGGGTCGAAGCACCCGTACAGCTGTCCCATTGTGATCGCCTTGGGGTTGAGGATTCGGTAGATAGCACCGAACTCTTTGTGCCTCGGCGGCGGCTTCATCAGCTGCAGTGCGCGCAGTGCGTCCGCAAGCGTCTGGTACGCCTGTGTCTTGCCACCCATCGGCGGACCCACCGTCATGAACCCGTGGCGGACCAACATCATCTCGTAAATCTGCATAATTTGTACCAAAAAAATTAGAAAACATTTACCTTCATAAAAAACATAACAGCTGTACTAAAGAATGACCTGTATTATCTTCTCGAGGTACCATTCCGTGGCTTGTAGGTTGCGGCGCTCTAACTCCTTTAAGATACACTGGGTGAGTTCGGCCCGATCTGGCTGCGGGATCTCCACGCCCGGGAACAGATCCGAATAGATGCCCATGAACAGCGGCACGTCCTTAACAAGTGATTTGATATACCAAAAAATTAAATATCATACTCGTTTTGTATTATAACAATACTTCATATATTAAAACGAAATAACTAGAATATTTGTAACCTGTGAGAGGAACTTGGGCATATTAACGTCGATGATGGCTCGCAGCACAAGTTGCGCCTCATCCTTTTCAGGATAGTTCTTCTTAAGCGCGCCGGAGGCCAGCAGCACCGACTTGACGGCGCGCATGCCGTAGTCGTAGTGATTCTGTGACGACAGCTGCTCCGAGCACAGTTTGTACGCCTGCACTATCTTGCGCGCCAACCTAAACCGAATGCCAATAAATAACAGCTAGAACTAATTTTCTGGATTTTACAATCAAAGTGTAACTGTTTGACGAACAGTGACCATACATTTCTATAAAACTTAAACTCACGGGCCAGCGTTAACGAATCCATTAGAGTAGAGAGTAATCTCGCCGATCATGGCGTAGTCCGGCACCATCATGGCCACCGTCCTGAAGAGCACTTTCAGATTGTCGGGTAATTCCGTTCGACCGGCGTAACTGTTAATAATCATCTTTTAAAGTAGCTCTAAGTATATTGCATTATTACTATATATAAGATAGATATAGAAGAAATGATTTTAATACCCAGGATTCATAGTAATGAAGACGGAGCAGGTCGGGTTAAGGCTGATCTCGGTGCCTTCGAAGACGAAGCGCTTCTCGCGGCGCAGAATAGCGAGCTGAATGGACAAGATCTGCTGCGCTACCACCGACAGCACCTCCAGCTCGATGCGGTTGAATTCGTCGAAGCACGCCCACGCACCCGACTGAGCTAGACCCTGACACATAAACGATCCTTTAAATTTTTACTACTATGATAAGAGGGTTCCTATATTTAATCATACAAAAATACCACTAACCTTAAAGAATTTGCCCAATGCCTTGTAATCGAGTCCGTCTGAACAGTTGAAGACAACACACTTCTTAGCCACAGCCTTGGCCAAGTCTTTGGTGGTCTCAGTTTTACCCGTGCCGGCCGGGCCCTCGGGTGCACCGCCCAAGTTCAGCTTCAGAGCGCTCATTAGAGTTCTGAAGTACAATAGATACATTTGAATAAGATCAACCCTAGATCAAGATCCATAGAGAAAGATAGCGAAATCTGTCTTCGGTTATATTCATAATGATACATCTATCTAAACTTTGCACCTGTAGCATCTATCGGTGAGAGGCGTGGCGACGAGACGGCCGGTATTGCCGAGGTACTCGAAGCCGTACTCCACGTCGGTGGTGATCATGGAGCACAGCAGCCGCTCGCCTTGCCACGTATATCGCAGCTGCGAGATCCAGTTGAAGTCCGTAATGTCAGCAACCTTCTTCTGCACCATTTCTTCTAGGATCGATCTCCCTGATCGAATTTAAGTAAGATATCATAAAAACTGATGACGGAACTACATACATACATCTAGTGACAAGTCTTCATCTTAAACAATTAACACTTGTTTTAATCTCGAATACCGTGTACATCGATGACGATGAGGGCCTCGACGGTGATGCGGTTACCAGGGTCAAGGTCGCCCTGTACGAGATACACCAACCCGTTGATCTGGTCCGTGCATCGTCGGATCAGGTCCGGTAGGCTGGCCGTCTGGATGGCTTCTATAGCCTATATAAAAGTACTCGA